TTTGAAGTGTGTTTTGGGTCATTGTCCTGCTGGAAGACCCATGATCGCTGGTGGAGACACAGCTTTCTGACACTGGCCGCTATGTTGCACCTGAAAATTCTTTGGTAATAATCAGATTTCATTATACCATTCAGTCAAGGCATCCAGTGCCAGAAGCAGCAAAGCAACCCCAAAACATTTTTGAACTTCTGCTATGTTTGACTGTAGGGACTGTGTTCTTTTCTTTGAATGCCTTTTCTTTTTCTGTAAACAGTGCCATGTCCTTGACCAAAAAGCTCTACTTCTGTCTCATCTGTCCACAGTACGTTCTCCCAGAAGGATTGTGGTTTTGTCATGTAAGTTTTGGCATACTTCTCTTGCTTTTTTATGCCTTTGTGTCAGCAGTGGTGTCCTCCTGGGTCTCCTACCAGTGTCCCTTTTAATTCAGATAACGACAGATAGTGCGAGCTGACACTGTTGTACCCTGTGTCTGTAGATCAGCTTGAATTTGTTTGGAAGTTAATCTGGGTTTTGTATCCACCATTCAAACAACCTTTTGTTGTAATTTTTCAGTAATTTTGCTCTTCCGTCCACATCCAGGGAGATTAGCTACAGTGCCATGAGCTGTAAACCTCTTGACGACGTTGTGCACAGTGGACACAGGAACATTAAGATGGAGACTGACTTGTAGCCTTGAGATTGCTGATGTTTTTTCACACTATTTTCTCTCAAATCCACAGACAACTCTTTACACTTAATTCTTTTCTCCATGCTCAGTGCCACACACAACACAAAGGTTGAGTCAACTTTTCTCTATCTTAACTGGCTGCAAGTGTGACTACAATATTGCCCACACCTCTTACTTGTGACAGGTGTGTCTAAATACAAATTAAAGGAGCATTACATGCTTGAAAAGCAATTATTTCTTACAATTTAGACAGGATGCCAATAATTTTGGCCAGTGCATTTTTGGGTTTCTGTGTGAGAGTGTATCAGATTTGACTTTTCTTCTCTATTTTTTTGTGTGTTGTTCCAATGGTACTCACAACATTTGCAACTGCAACAATTTTCTGAGAGAAGGACTGCATTTTCTGACAGAATTGCAAGGGTGCCAATATTTTTGGCCATGACTATATAAGGCAATATCACTTTTTTTGCTAAATAACGTAGGTTGCAAGGGTGCCAATATTTTTGGCCATGACTATATTATATAAGGCAATGTCACTTTTTTTGCTAAATAACGTAGAAATGAGGCAATAATCAAACCAGGACATGAGACTACATATGGAAAATACAAGGTGTGCATTTATTATTGTATAAACAGCAGTAATTCAGATGCAGCATATCACAAACGGCATTCTGAGGCCACACAATTTATTCATTACGCTTTAAAATCTCTCAGCTTTTTGACTAGAACCATAGCATAGCACAGCACATCATAGCATTTTCTTACTTTTTCAGAGAGCAAGCGAGTAACATTTTGCTGTTGTCTTTTCTGGAACCCTTCATAAACATCAAACAATCTGGAAGCCAACACTTGTTCCAAATTGAAAAGAGAATGGTGACTAAAGACAATACTTGATATATTAAGATCTAGTTGATAAATTTGAGTTTGATCTCCTGACTCAGATATAATACAGTTTTTTAGTTCACGCTGCATTGCCTGCATTATAAAAACAGAAGCAAAACCTTTCCTTACATTAATTAATTTTGAAATACTGTAGCAGGATTTTAATGTAAATGTGGTCTGAATGAGAAATTGGTATTGGTACACATATTTTTAGTGCTAATAAATGAGTTCAAAATGTTACCAAAACTCTGTAAAACCATTTTGAACAGGCAATGGGACAATCATAGTAAGTGTCTGGGTGTGTATATACATATATATTAAAAATATGACTCTCAAACTATTTGAGCCCCTTTTACAATTATTTCTATTTTTTTAGCATTTGCTACTAAACATACAGCAGCTCTTCAAGTAAAATGGCAGTAACAGCCCTAACTGTACACACATACACTCTCACACACACACACATGTATGTAGCAGTACAGTATTTACTTATTGCGCCTAACAATGATAACCTAAGTTGTACACAGAAGCATAAACATCACATACAAAAAAGGGCATGATGAACAGAAGCCTGTTATGTGGCAGCTGCTACTGAATTCCTTCAGCTGAAGTATTTGAGCTGAAACTTAAGGATGTTTTATAACATTTGTTCAAATACATTAATTCTACTTTTTTAGTACACTGCATAATGTGTAGCATAATAATATTCTCCTGTCTGCTCATATTAAACTTTAAAGAGGAAGAATTATTTCATTTGAAATACATTATCAATCTTTGTGTATTCGCAAGGCATTTCTAGACAAAGTATATTAAGAGTTTTCTAATGAAAATAACCCAGTCTTGTGATAAAAGTAAAAAAAAATGGAAGCAAACAAACCTTCTTGTACATTGTCTTTAATTGTGTGCTGTTCTCGACAGGAAAAGATACTCTGCAACTATTTGATTGCTTGATTGGAGAAGGTAATGACATTATTTCCCCACTTTCTTCAAACCAAACTTTTCCCTTCATAAAAATCATTCAGAAGCACAAAGAACATTGAGCAAATCAGCTGCTAATTGTGGTCAAAACATATCACTTAAGAAGCAGTGGACTTAAATGACTAAAACAGTCATAAAGGGGGATGCATTAAAGGGGAGTCAGCCATTTGTGGGGAATCACTCCAGGCAGGATCTGAGAGTGAGGGACAGGCCGCTGGTTTGAAAAAAGGGGAGGTACAAGAAAGACTCTATCACTGCTTGTGCGCCTGCCTCAGTTCTGCCAATTTTTAACTATTATTAGGCTTGCAGGTTGTTGTCTGGCTGGGAGGAAGTGCATTATTCGAAGAGGAAGGGGGATGAAGTGACCCAGGAGTTTGTCCTTAAAGCCATTCTAGACAGGAGGAATTATAGAGGGCAGCAGTGTCAGTACTATGTGAAAGGGGGCACAAGCAATGTTGGTTTTTAGCTCCTGGGCTAAAACTGTGTTTTTAAAAGCAAGCTCGGTAAAAGGGAAGTCAACAACCACTGATGCTGTTTAGGTCGCAGCGGCAGTCGGGAGTGGTGTGCCAGCTATGCCTGTTCCTGGAGCTATCTGACTTGGCTTCAATGGCATATGTCTTACTTACATCCTGACTGAGTCACTGTAATGCACTCTACATGGGATAGCCTTTGAAGAATGTCTGGAAACTTCAGCAGGTCCAAGATTAAGCATCCAGACTAATGACAGGGGCTGGTTACAAAGGAACACATAATTTCCTTTCTACAATAGCTGCACTGACTGCTAGGCACGTGCCATTTTTCCCCTCCCCCTGACCTTTTATTACTCCAAATTCATTCTCCAAATTCCACCTGCCAGACACACACCTAAATTGTCCTCATCTAGAGAAAGGTTGTGCTGGAAATGACTGTTAGGAAAGGATGTTGCCCTGATGCTTCCTGGGAACTCCTTGCCAAACAGGCCAGAGTTGCTCTTTCCATGCTATCTTCCCAGTTGCAGGAAAAACCTTTTTATTCAGGCAATTCTTCAGAGATTAAGTGCCTTAAACAATAAGATATTACCAATGTGCTGTCATCTTTTTGTAAAAGATGAATTACTGTTAGTATTGTTACTCAAATAGTCTTTTAATTTTACTATTATAATAAATTTTATCCAACTTTGATGTTTGTAATTCTACTGTATTTTAATGTTCTATTTTTTAAAAAAATTAATAAGCCACCTTGAATCTCAATTCTCAGGTAAAAATAAAATAAGTAAACAAAATAAACTAACTAAATAAGAATACTTCTACCCCCTTTTCCTGAAGAAGACGATTTTCCATTTTGTAGCACATGGTCCTTGAAATATAAGGCTTTTTAGGAATATAAAATCCTTCATCTTCTAAGAGTCGTGGCAACATATTGTTCAGCAATTTTGAGCTACGTATAACTGAAAATAAGCAATATGACTTTCAAACTACACACATAAGAATTGTAAAATCAAAATTATACATTTATGGCATTAAGATCAGTCCCAGAAAATTACAAGAAATCCCAATGCATAGTGAGGTATTTCTAACAGGAACTCCTGTCTCATCTGCCACCTCCCATAATCCTAGTGCTATGAATTTTTAAATAAGCATTTTCTTTCTTCTCTGCATTTTCCCTTTTTCTTCCTGAATTGCTTTTACTGACATGAGATCTCAAACAAGTGTGATACTTCTCTAACTGTTGCAACATTAAGCCTGCTCATTTTAAGACAGAACCATTCCATATGATATGCCCATGTGAAGGATAACAGGGAAACCTGCCTGTTAAATGTAAGGGCTTTTCCACATGGAGACTAAAGTACAGTATCTGGTTCAGTACTATTCATTTGTTATTTTTCTCACTAACCAGATGACAAAGGGCGTAACTACCGGTAATTAACCCCATTTGTTTTCTCATTTTCCAGGGTTTTTAAAAAATCTCCCTGGCAGGCAAGTGTCATTTTGAAATGGGCTTTGTAGTGGGGAGCAAATTTCAGCAAAACTGCATTTCTATGCGATTTTTGTGTGTGTCAGAGGCTGCTAGTCAAAAGCTTTTCATGGGTTTTAAAAATAGGAGAGGGGAGATTCCAGAGACAAAGGTTCAGTGAAGAAGGAGCTTTAAAGTATTTATTTCCTGGAAATGTCAAAGAAGCAGTTTTCAAGGATTTTCATGGATATTGCTTTTGCAGTGCTGTGTAAATGGCAGCACTAGTAAGCTCTAGTTCTCTTTGGAACAAACATGCATACCTGTGCTTATTTCCTGCAGTACTGTACTTTTGCCCATCTTGACATGCCCTAAGTAGAACTGACCTGAGAACTATTAAGTCCCTTTATGTACTCATGCACTTGTACTGGTAAATTAACAGGTTAGACTATCCAGTTTCTACTGCACAACCATTTATACAGACATTGGTAAGGTCAGGGTCAAAGTCTTATTTTGAAACATTCAATACCTGGGAAAGTACTTGGCACAAAAAGTTGATTGAAGTGTTTGTCAAAATTTCTGCATTCATATTCAGGTGGCTTTACTTCAAGCAATTCCGGCAACAATACACGTTCCACATGATTGAGCAGTGGAGTTTGTTCATTTAAGTCATAATTGTTCTGACCAGTATCAGTTATTGATTTCTATTATTTACCATGAAGAAAATCAGTGTGAAATATTGATCTCAAAGAATAATCGACAAATAATGAAAAAATGTATTACATAAAAATACAAGAGTAACAGCCACAGTAGGGTGAATTGTCATATATGTTTTTCCTTGTTTAATTGGCTCAGAAATGCATGATGACAGTGCTGGAAGAATGTATAGGCTACAATATTCTACAGGAAGCTGTCTAAATATACACTGTTATCCTGCATTTAAAAAAGTCTCTCGATTCATGAATGAATGATACAAAGTATTGTGACAATGTACCTTGTAAAACTTTGAAAGTATATATTGCATAAGCAAACAAGGAAAACCTCATTATATACTTTGTTATTTTGTTTATATATTCTGGGTTACGAAAGATAAAAAATATTGAAAAGGTTTGCCATTATTTATGGACAAAGCGAAATACAGTGGTGCGACGAAACCGCATAGCGATTAACTTTTCGCAATCGCAAAAGCGATCGCATTGCGCTGTTTCCTATGAGGTTTTATTCCTATGATGGGTTCCCTGTTTCGGTTACCCATCACCGCAAAGCGATGATTTTTAACAGCTGATTGGCGGTTCCAAAATGGCTGCCCGCTGTGTTTTTGCGCGGATTCCTCGCTTTAGAGGCAGAGAAAATGGCCGCCGTATGGAGGATCTTCGCTTTAAGGTCAGTTTTTTGCCCATAGGAACGCATTAAACAGGTTTTAATGCGTTTCTATGGGCTTTTTAAAATCCCATAGCGACGAAATCGCTTAGCAGCGATTTTTGCTGCACGGATTAACGGCGCTATGCGAGGCACCACTGTAAATGAATAAATTACAGTAATTTCAAATATTGGGAGAGCCCTTTGAAGGAAGCAGTCCTAATTATTCCTGCAACTTAATGCAACATAAATGAAAGCAATTTATATGAAGAAAAACAGAAATACCATGTCATCAGTTTGCTCAGTTTCTTTTAGCTTTGAATGGTCTTCAAAACTGGAGGTGAAAAATTCAAAACCTTCATCTAAGGGGACTTCATTCTAAAATTGGAAAAGCAGTTGAGTAATTATCTATCAATAATATGAATCACTGCAGTCTTTTTTGTCTTTTTTTCTTCACTAGTTCTTATATCTAATTACAACAGAAAGGAGCAAAATTCTGACCAACTGTAAGCTTCAGTGGGCACAGAAATGTCTATCTGAACCATTATAAGTGTAAATAATTTATGTATTTTGGTTTGATGTTTGGGAAGGGGAGATCTTAGGCAAACCCTCCACAGACCCTGATGCAAAAACCACAGGTCCCAGCGGCCACCAGATCCACAAACAGAGGCTTTTAAGTAAGATTTTGAAAAGCTTTTTTTGTTGACTGGAAAGTTCTTGGAAGTCCTTGGAGTTGCAAAAAGGCACCTAGAAAAATGCCCATGATTTTATACCTAACTATACATAGCAGTGGCTTCGACAATAGCTTTGATTTCTCCTCTTTATTTGCTTTACATACTCTAGCCCTATTCCAGCATTATGCATGAAACTAAGTAGAGAGGTAAAACGACTGTGGAGATAGAGAATCACATAATTACCCCCTGCATATCCTCCACATCCTCAGAACTCAGTTAGACCTTTGCAGACTCTGTGGAAAGGCCTATATGCAATTGCTGCCTATAAATAATTTCAGATTAACTGAGATCAAGAACTCTGCCATATCATACTAGTCACATTAACTATATCTCTTTTTCAGTTTCAGAGGCAGTATGATGCTGAGGAGATGAATAGGAGAATGCTATTGCACTGATGTCCCATTTGTGTTTCTCCAGGAGCATCTGGTTGGCCACCATAGGAACGCTATGTTGGACTACATATCCTTTCCATGTTGCAAATGAAGAAATGGTGAATGTGCTTGCACAAGCTACTATGCGGCTACAGCAGAGATAGAGACAGTTAGGGCTTCCTCTTATATTCCCTATGGTTTTGTCTGCTCTATTGCTTCCTTGTCTAATGGCCTGGACTAAGGGAAGAGCTTCAGAGACAAAATTCCACTACCATGCTGAGACCACTCAAACTATTCATCCCCACATACAATCCTATGCAGCCAGAAGTCTATATGATTTTATTAGGTCTGTCCTCACTTTTACTCATCCCAGCTCTTGTGCAATCGTTATCTTAGGCATGTAGACTTTTATAGCCACAAGACCCCACCATCCTCTATGAAACATGTACTTACCAAGATAAATACTTTGCATTTAATTTTTAGATTCTATGGATTACAATCCATTTCCTCAGACATACAAAGTGAAATATTTTCATGAGGAAACAATCAACAAAAATGATACTGAAATAAATCTATTAGTTTTTGAAATGCTACAATACAGTGGTGTCTCGACTTACGAACTTCCCGACATAGGACCATTTTGGGTTACAACCAGCTCCAGCCGCCAAATTTTGCTTCGACTTGCAGCCAGAGATTCGAGTTACAACCAGGAAAAAACAGAGAAAAAAGGCGGGGAATTCAAAGTGCTAACTGTTGGTGGCGAAGAGGCTGCTTCTTTGTAGCTCTTTTGCCCCAGCAGTTAGAGAGTGTGGAGGAGGCTTTGGACTGCCTGGTAAGGTAAGGTGCTGGTTTGTTTTTTAAAAAACTGTTCTGGGTGGGTTTTGCAGTGTGGTTTTGGGCTAGAGGGGGTTATGTTTCTGTGCTGTGATGGGTCTTGCAGTCTTTGTTTTTTGCAGGGGGGGTTCCATTTCTGATGGGTCTTGCAGGGTTTGTTTGCTTGTTGCCCCCCCCATTTCCAATGGGTCTTACGGGGTTTGTTTGCTTTTTGGAGTTCCCCCCCCCCCATTACCAATGGGTTTTGCAGGGTTTGTTTCCTTTCTGCTTTGCTTTTTTCCCCATTTCTGATGATTCTTGCATGGTTTGCTTTCTCCCTTGCTTTTTTTGCATTTCTGATGGGTCTTGCACAGTTTGTTTGCTTTCTCTTTTGCTTTTTTGCATTTCCAAAGGGTCTTGCACAGTTTGCTTGCTTTCTGCTAGCTTTTTTGCACTTCTGATGGGTCTTGAACAGTTTGCCTGCTTTTTGTTTCTTTTCTTTCCTTCAGCCAGAACAGGTTAATCACGTTTCCGACGGGTCTTGCAGTGTTTTTGTTTTGTTTTTTGGGTGGGTTTTTTTTTTTGGTGATTTTTTTCTTCAGCCAGAATGGATTAATTGCATTTCAATGCATGCCTATGGGAAATGGTGCTTTGATATACGATCATTTCGAGTTACAACCGGAGTTCTGGAACCAATTAAGTTCGCAAGTCGAGGCACCACTGTAGTTCTATTTTTGTTTCTGTTTTATTTGTATTAGACATGCTGAAACAGAATAATGCAGGTGCCTCTGAAAAATAAAGAACAATTCAGTTTATTGCTTCTGTAAGCAAGTAATTACCTAAACACTCACTTCAAAATTGGCTTCATATTCTGCATTAAGAGAATCTTGTTTCTCAGGAAAAGAATCTTCTTGTGCAGCCTTTAAAGAAAGAATATCTTGCTGTAATCCTTTTAAAACAAAAGACCACGAAAAACAACATATATTAGCCACAGACTGGCTGTATCCAGTAATTAATTTGTCTGTGATACTCCAACTGATGTGGGGATGTAGGTGACCCTCTTAAATTGGTTGCACCTTCTCCCTTTCTCAGAAACATAAATATGTACACTACACTTGAATGTCAAAGTACATGTTTAGTTAAAACAATTAATTACCTTGACAGCTTTAAACTTCCCTCTTACTCTGTCCCGTAATGTTTCAGTTAATATCCTCTGTTTTTCGATATCAGTCACAACTACTATATCTGGAAAAGAAACCAATTCTGCTTAAAAACACATTTTGTAACAAGGATACTCTAAAATACACTGCTCATACAGATTCTAACATATTCTGAAGAGCGTGGCAACAATTTATTTTTCAGGGTTTGTAAAGTATTTAACTTGACTGATATTTATCTGAATCATACAATTTTGCTTCAGATTCAGATTTCACACTTAGTAATAAAAGTAGACAATTTGAAATGAGTTTGACATGGAGCAAAGAGTACACAAAAAGCATAATTTTCTGTTTCACTTCTTTGCAGCATTTTAACCCAATATTTTTAGCTGTAAATCTGTAATGTACATTTGAATTTTGTTATTGAAATGTTCAAATATATGGAATGAATAAAAAGGTGAATGTAGTTTTGATACTTAAATTACAGCCCACTATATTATTTGACTTTTATAACCAAAATTGGCCGCTTGCTGAAAATGTCCTTAAAATTCATAGGAATACAGGAAATAAAAACACAGAGCTACCTTTCTCTGGATTTTGATCTATGGCTCCTTTTATTTGGAGTTTATATGCATGTTCATTGCCTTCAGTTTGCTACATTAAACAAAAGAAAAGGGCAAGCAAATATTTAAAAGGATTACCTCAAAATTTAAAATTGTATTTAACCAGAAAAAAAAACAAATATGTGACATCAGTAATACATTAAATATAATGCGTAGACTTTATCTCCATATTAAGAAAAAAAAGTTTTACAGTTAATAAATATCCTGGGCCCATACACAAAATGCCCCCCTGGGTTTGGGGAAAGAAAATCTGCCCATCAGGCTAAAGAGTTTTATTTGGATTTTTGTTATCAGGATAACAGCTGCTATTCAACTTCAGTTTGAAGATTGTTAGTAATTATTAAGTAATGACAAGTCATCCACATTCAGAAGCATCCTTATGATATACAATAATTTTCAAATTGACTCTGGCAGTTACATAATCTGTACTGTAATTCTGATTTTGTACACCTGATCCCACTTCTCTTTAAAAACCTGAAAGCAGCTGATATGTGAATATTTGCCCCCAGATATATGTTTAATATACCCAAAGGCTGCTTTACAGAAAATTTCAAATACAAAGCAATTTATTAATTTAATAAGGCATTTTCAGTACAGAACTGAGAGAAGAACATTTTTAAAATAAAGGCTTGCAAAATTTTTGCTTCAGTAAATGCAGTACTGTAACTCAGAGATGAACGGATGAATGAACCTCTTCTCTAGCACTCTCTTTCTGTAAAGATTTCTTCTTCCTTTCAATTTTGTCCTGAACGTTTCCTTTCTAGATTAAAAAGAAAATGTTTTCAGACATCATCTGAAATGTACACAACACCATAAGTGAAATTAAACAGATGACATTGCATAGTTTTTAGACTGATAATTTGAAAAACAAAGCTCACCAGCCAAAGTATTTTCTTTCTTAATAACCTTTCACTAAACTTCAATACCCCCACACACTGGCTGAAATCCTGTTGCATAGTGTAGTAAAGTGCAAGTACAGTATATCCATTCAGTTCTCCATTGGTTCCACTGATTCACATGGGCTTACTCTTGTCGTGACTTACTAAGCTATGTCCTAGGATTTCAGCCAGTTGTCTTTGAAACAACTAAGCGTAATGTTAACTTATATTATTAAAAGTTTCCTATAAAACATGAATGCTCATTTCGTCATTTATCACTTTTCTGTCAACTGAAAGCAATAACACATCTACGCACACCAGAGTCATAGGTTCTCTTCAGTTTTGATGAACAATTTTTCACAAGGACTGCCTTATCTAAACTGATTATTCTGCAGGTTTAAAAAAATTAATTCTTTAAAGTCAGACATATGTCTTCCGCTGCCTCCCGGAGTTGGGTCAAATTCATGTTGGTAGCTTCGGTGATACTGTCCAACCATCTTGTCCTCTGTCGTCCCCTTCTCCTCTTGCCTTCACACTTTCCCAACATCAGGGTCTTTTCCAGGGAGTCTTCTCTTCTCATGAGACGGCCATAGTATTGGAACCTCAGCTTCAGGATCTGTCCTTCCAGTGAGCACTCAGGGTTGATTTCCTTCAAAATGGAGAGGTTTGTTCTCCTTGCAGTCCAGGTGACTCTCAAAAGTCTCCTCCAGCACCAAAATTCAAAAGCATCAAATTCTTCAGCGGCTAGCGTTCTTTATGGTCCAGCGTTCACTTCCATACATCGCTACTGGAAAAACCATAGCTTTGACTATGCCGACTTTTGTCGGCAAGGTGATGTCTCTGGTTTTTAAGATGCTGTCTAGGTTGTCATCGCTTTCCTCCCAAGAAGCAGGCGTCTTTTAATTTTGTGGCTCCTGTCACCATCTGCAGTGATCATGGAGCCCAAGAAAGTAAAATCTGTCATTGCCTCCATACCTTCCCCTTCTATTTGCCAGGAGGTGATGGGACCAGTGGCCATGATCTTAGTTTTTAGTTTTGAAAGTATTACTTCTAGGTAATTCTTAAAATCACAGAAGCCCTCTTGTGGTTTGAACCTTACAAACCTAACACACACATAATACAACTTATACTTAGGAAGTGCACTATCATTTACTTATTTTATGTTATTCTGATCTAGAATATTCACACTTTTTTTTTTATAAAATAGAAGAGTTGCCAGGCCTTCTTCTCCCGATGCATTCATGTATTCTTGTGGCAAGCTGTTACAGTGCCTAAAGCTGAAGAAGCACTAGTTTCCCTAGCATGGAAATGCAGGTACAGAAACCTGCACCCATGAGATGTCTATTTTTAAAATGCCTATTAGAAGCTCAGGACATCTGCCAGAATATTCACATCACCTCACAGTCTGAGGAGGAGTCAGCCCCGGAGCCCTCTCTGCTCCTTTAAGGCAAGGCAGGCGGGGGGGCTCGCAAGAGGCACCCCTCGCGAGGAGGGGGGAGGACAGACTCCGGGCTAGAAAGCGAAAGGGGGAAGCCGGCGGAGGAGAGAGCAGCCGGTGATGGTGGTGGTGGTGACTCCCAGTGGGGGGTGGGCTTCCACAGGATCCCTTGGCCAGGATGAGAGGCTCCCCCTTAGCTCCCCACTGCTCTGCTCTCCTCTGGGTGGATCCTCCCACCTCCTCCCGGACGTGCAAGGGTCGCTTTGCCATGATCGCAAAGCGATTTATCCCCATAGAGGCCATCGCTAACCGATCGCTCTGGCGATGGCCAAAACCCCCTCGTTAAGCGATTTCATCGTTAAACGGAGCGATCGGTAAGCGAGGCACCACTGTACTTCTAGGTAATTCTTAAAATAACAGAAGCCCTCTTGTGGTTTGAACCTTACAAACCTAACACACACATAATACAACTTATACTTAGGAAGTGCACTATCATTTGCTCATTTTATGTTATTCTGATCTAGAATATTCACACTTTTTTTTTTATAAAATAGAAGAGTTGCCACCCCTTCTTCTCCTGATGCATTCATGTATTCTTGTGGCAAGCTGTTACAGTGCCTAAAGCTGAAGAAGCACTAGTTTCCCTAGCATGGAAATGCAGGTACAGAAACCTGCACCCATGAGATGTCTATTTTTAAAATGCCTATTAGAAGCTCAGGACATCTGCCAGAATATTCACATCACCTCACATTGATGCTTCTGGAGATACACTGAGCATGACATCCTTTTTTTACAATGATGCAAGATTCAGGAAAACAGGACGTCAACATATCTATGAGTTTATTATCAGACATTTAGGACCACCATTATTCTCAGCTATATGTAGTATATAAGTTTGGAATTCTGTAATAATCAAATATCTGTAGGTTACTCAGTAAAGCTTCCTGGAATAACAAAACTGTTTGATACATTAAATACTGTACAGTAGATAGCATATCACTACTGAAAATATATTTAAAATTAGTTTCACAACTTGCCTTCATCGTTCTATCCAATAATTCTTTGTCTGAATCCATTCCTTTTTTTAAAATGCCTTCAAAGAAGAAACTGGAAAAAATGAAAATATGAAAATGGAGCATGATTGTCAGAAGCATGTACTCCATACTAATATATATTCAGCTAATGATCCAGTAAAAAAGTCTTAATTATTAATTTGCAGATATCATTTCAAAGTGTTTGAACTTAATGTCTTTTTACAAATCACTAGCTGAAATCCAACGGTAAGTCACAACAGAGTAGGCCCATGGAATCACTAGAACTTATGGAGGAGTGGACTCAACAAAACCCACTGATTCAATGGGCCTACTTTAGTTATGGCCTACTACTGAGTTTCAGCCAGTGTGTGACACAGATAATCAAATTTTAATACACCTAATGTAGAATGGGGTACTCAAGTGTGGTACAATGGTTAATGGACTACGACTCAAGAGATGTGGAGTTTTTTAAGAAGTTGTTGGACATCACAGAACTGGACACTCTTTCAGAAGCACTACGAGAACAACCAAGAGACTATGTAATACAAAGATGGAACTTAATATATGTTTGGGCCCATAAAAAAGCAAAAGTTTAGGGCAAAACTTTTTATGTAGATTTTTGTTCTTCTTCAATGCTCACCGGAAACCTGAGAAATCTGGTCACTGTATTAGGGTCACTGTAAGTCAGTTCCAACTTGACAGGACACAACAACAATGTAGAATGACTCTGTGCTAGCGTCATCCGTTGACTGCAGCATAGACTGGTATGGAATATTTTTAGAATTGAAAACAATAGCATGTTGACATGTTACACGGTATAGCCTGCACAACTTGAAATACTACAAGTCCACCACAGTCCATTCACCAGCCATAAATGGCAAGCTGTCTACACTTAAATAGTGAAACAAAGGGTTTCAATGCTGTAAGATGCTTTCTTTTATCTGAAATAGAAGGAGCCAAAATAATGTTTGGCACTGAATCAAGCTTCTACAAACTTTTTCTTTCATACAGCATAGAAGTAAAGAAAGTGACAGCTGGCAGCTGTCATCAGTCTCCTGTCAGGCTACATTACACAACTAGTAAATTACACTTGATAACAAATAGGATCTTATGTGAGTATGTAGCAGCAGCAGCAATATAGTAAAGCCAAGGACATTTCTTCAAATGAAGGATTTATATTTTCAAGTATACTGTAATCTGCCTTTTCTCATATGAGCTCAAGGTACCACACACTTTGCACTCATTTCACACGCTAAGAAGGTTATGCTCAAAATCCCACAAGGTAGGCTTCAGCAGTATGTGGACCAAGAACTCCCAGAAATACAAGCTGGATTTCAAAGGGGCAGAAGAACTAGAGACCAAATTGCTAACATGCGCTGGATTATGGAGAAAGCCAGAGAGTTCCAGAAAAACATCTACAGTGGGGTCTTGACTTGAGAACTTAATCCGTATTGGAAGGCGCTTCTCAAGTCAAAAAGTCTGTAAGTCAAGTCTCCATTGACCTACAGTGCATTGAAAACCGATTAATCCCATAACAGGCCGTTTTTGTTCCATTTTGGGTTTTTTCTCGTCTGTAAGTCAAATCTCAGTCTGCTAGTCAATCCTAAATTTTGCGGCCAGAGAAGTCTGTAACTCAAAAAGTCTGTAAGTCAAGGGTCCACTGTACTTCTGCTTCACTGACTACGCAAAAGCCTTTGACTGTGTGGACCATAGCAAACTATGGCAAGCCCTTAAAGAAATGGGACTGCGTGACCACCTTATCTATCTCCCAAGAAATCTATATGTGGGACAGGAAGCAACAGTTAGAACTGGATATGGAAGAACTGATTGGTTCAAAATTAGGAAAGGGGTACGACAAGGCTGTACATATTGTCTCCA